CAGAAGCGTACAGCTTATGAAATATTCATTTCGTCCTCCAGATGTTCAACAACGCAGGACAACATAACATATCAGGTTGAAACATTTATAACTTAACAACCGAAAAGTACATTCATGAAGTCAATAACTGTACCACTATTGATAGGCGCTATCTCACTGTAGGCTTTATTGCTGCAGTAAAGTTTCATTTCCTAAGTTGATAACACTCAACTGCTAAAGCTGGGCAGCTGTTGTTGTGTAGAAGTCTCGGGTTGTTAATTGACAATTTTATTGTACATTATAGCGAATGTACACATGAAGAGCAAGTTTATAGACACGTATCAGCGGGAACCTGCTAGGCTTCTCGTACATGACAACTTGCACCGAAATGAACTGATCATTTTTATGATAATTATATTCTGTTGTTGTATTATCAACATTTTACAGGAACAGAAATAACAATAACTTCCGGGTTATATGGCATCTATCTCTGTGCATATTGAATAGTACCAAAGTGGACACGTGTATATAGTAGGGGTGGGTATTGCAGAGAATATTCATATTGCGATATATTGCGATGCGAAAGCATGTATTGCGATATGTATTGCAATATATTGCATGAAGTATTTTTAAACAAAAAACTACTTATAATCGAGTTACTGCTTGATGTATAGAGCAAAAACATAACAAAATCACTATGCTTGATTAAGCTTTAATAACAAATTTTAATCATGATAGAATAAAAATGTGAATAATATTTGGCACAAATAAAACAAGGAAATATCCGAAGATTTCTGAGTGTTACGACGTTTTCCGAATGCGTGTCAAAATACCGGTTTTCGATCAACGTATCGCAATACGAATCGTTTTCATGTCTGAACCGGTATATACCGGTAAACCGGTTATATTGCGCAGCCCTAGTGTATATAGGCTTTAACGAAATAGAGCATCACTGGATCACCAGAATTTGTAAAGGGATCTGTGTTACAGTCAGTTAAAGAGAAACACATACATGTATTGTGATCATGGGTTGTTGTTTACTTTATTCTGGAAAGTATAGACTGGGCATGCATAGTTTTGTAAAGTTTCTTTTGAAAATCAAATGTTTAAAAAGTATAATGATGATAATAATAATGTAGATTTCATTGTTTCTACATAAATAACCATCATAGAAAAGATCACGATTCGACTTAAGTAATGACCAACTATGTGTACGCTAGTGTAATAACTCCCAGTAACATTACAGAAAACAACACGCTTATAACGAACTGATAGATATAACGAACTGGATTTTGGTGTTTTTATATTTTTGCTCCCGTTTACTGGTAGGGCTTGGACTATACACTATGTCACGAAACGATACGATACGTTTCGCGATGTTTTACCTGCGATACGATACGTATTGATTACTGGCAGTATATCTAAGTCGAAAGTCATATAAAGAGGTATGGTTATATCGAACTATAATTAGTGGTCCTTTGAGTTCGTTTTAACCGTAGTTTACTGTATATTCTTTGAGGCTGTTTTTCTGTGTGACAAGCCCATGTCCGTGTTCATGGGTTTCGTCACAGTCGTAAGCGTCAAGGGTCCCGGTCCACAAAGCGTTCGTAGCGCTACGACATTCGTAAGCCTATGGTAAACTATAGAGTTACGACCTGTCGTAACTTTACGAACGCTTTGTGGATCGGGACCAAGGACCTTTATTACCTCATGCTGTCCTCCAACATTATGTGAGGCCGGTGCGATAGGATATATTACCTGATATACAGCTCAAGGGGACACTATTTGAAAATAGCTGTGTGACAAATGGCAAGTGAAACCAAGATACCTGTTGTCAATAATACCAAAGATCGTGGGTATAATGGCGACCATCCTGGACCAAATTTTCTAATTTGAAAAATAAATAAATTGAGTAGTATGTTCTAAGCAATGCTGTCGTCATTTCCTGCCAAACTATGTCCAATTTGATATATATTCTATTTGTTTTTACAGCGCGCGCACGCAGGTACGCACGCACGCACGCACGCACGCACACACACACACACACACACGTAAAAAAACATAACCAACAGGCCCAGGGGCTACAGATATTATTTTCCAAGTCAGTACTGTCATCGATTCCCAATTGCGCAGATCGATGCTCATGTGATCACTCGATTATTTGCAGACAGCCGCCATATAGCTAGAATGTTGCTGAGTGCGGCGTAAAACTGAACTCACTCACTCCAAGTCAGTACACTAGTCTTGCCTTTACAGTGTTAGCTGGGTTGATTAGTTCACGCAAATGTAGCAAACCATTCTTGTCGACTAACAGATTTGTCAGGCGCGGTGACTTGGTCGATATCCCAACTGTAAGGATTGGTGCTCATGATGTCAATCACATGCCTGGTCAAGAGACCGCCTCCGTGGTGTAGTGGTTAGAGCGTCCGCCCGGAGAGCGGAAGGTCGCGGCTTCGATCCCCGACCGCGTCATACCAAAAGACGTTAAAATATGGTACTTGTTGGTCCCTGCCTGGCGCTCGGCATTAATGGGTACAACAAGGACTGGTCGGCTCGGAGTCAGTATAATGTGTCTGAGTGGGGTATTCATGCTTCACTGCAGCATGGTATCTCAGTGGGCTAGCACTATAAAACCAGCTTAAGTCTGGGCTAGTACAAGCAGCCGCACATCCACATACACACGCATGCACGTCGTCATATGAGCGAAATATTCCCAAGCACGACGTTAAACCCAATTTCACCTCACCTCACCTCTCACCTCACCTCACCTCACCTCACCTCACCTGGTCAAGAGAAACGTATTTACGGACCACAGTCATATACTTGGAATTTTGGTAGTGCGACGTTATGAGTCGCTGTGCTGACCGACTGCATGAGTATTAACACCATGATCTCATTGTGAGGGAGTTTAGTTTTACGCCGCATTTAGCAGCCATATTCCAGCAATATCACAGCGGGGGACACCAGAAATGAGCTGAACACATTGTACCTATGTGGGGAATCGAACCCGTGACGAGCGAACGCATTAACCACATGGCTACCCCACCTCCGTCGTCTAATGGAGGGTGGCAAACACCGCTGTTCAGCCTGGTGAAGATATACAGTGTGGTTACAAGGCCGGGTGTATCATATTACCTAATGTTGATGCTATCTCTAAACCTGGCCTCGAAGCAGTTAAACAAAGCACTAAATGCATTAATCATGCACATACTGTATAAAGTCTCTAATGAACCACACCAATTTTCCCATGCCACACAACCATGTGAGTAAGTATGTTGGAGAATTGTAAACCAGTCCCAGTTGACATGACACCGTGCTCAACGCTTCTTATTTCGTGATCATGAATAGGACCGCCAGTTTGTGATACCACGGTCCGGAGCTTGAGCACACCGCAATCTTATCCTTACACCGTGGACTTGAACGTCTCTTGAGCTTCACACGTGTCACGCCCGACTGCCAACCACAGCTTGTCTGTGTTTGTATGAGCGTGTTTCAAGTCAAGAAGGAGGATTGAAGGGAGGGGGTTATGTTGACCAAGAGCTTAGTTTAGCAACGCATTATTGACAAAGACATTGTACACAAGGTGGTGACGTCTGGTCATACGTATTTCAGCCTGGGAAAAGACGGGGCTCTGTCTCTACTTCAATATGTAATAGAAAGTGCAAACAGTTTGGCTGAAGGGATCGTTGTCGGTACACGTACTACAGATATGTGTATGGAAATGTAACCTAAACAAAGTAAAACTATAGAAACGTACCCTGTACACTAAACGGTGAAGAAGCCCATCTTCCGCAACCCAAAACTGAAACTATTATATATAGCTGTTCCCGTTCAATTGAACGCGAGCGGGGCGGTGGGGTAGCCTAATGGTTGAAGCGTTGGCTCGTCACGCCGAAGACCTGGGTTCGATTCCCCACATGGGTACAATGTGTGAAGTCCATTTCTGGTGTCCCCCGCCGTGATGTTGCTGGAATATTGCTAAAAGCGGCGTAAAACCAAACTCAGTCAGTCAGTCAGTGAACGCGAGCGGTATTGTGTATCGCGAAATATTCGTTACTATGTATACTCGTTTCTTATATAACACAATCAATGCATCTAATACAACAGTATGACAGTTTCGATCAAGAAAACGGCACAATGCAGAATGGAATCGTCCTAGGGTACGTTTCTGTGTACCTTGTACACGAGGTGATCCGGGTTAGAATTGGTCTTCAGTAACCCATGCTTTTAAGTGGTGACAAACGGGATCGGGTGGTCAGGCTCGGTTACTTGGTTGACACATGTCATCGTGCCCCAATTGCATAGATCGATGCTGATGCTCTTGATCACTTGATTGTCTGGTCCAGGCTCGATTATTTACAGACCGCCGCAATATAGCTTGAATATTGCTGAGTGCGACTCATTCACTCACTGCTACCAGTCATAGCCAGACAGTCTTTGTTATCACGTCATAAAGATCTCGGTATTGACAATATGTCTCAAAACCATTCTAACAATTCGTTAAATATGGTCTCTCACATTTTCCAGGGTAGCTCGAAACATCAAACGTAGTAATATGTCGTAAATTGATGCTTGCGATAATGGATGACATAAGATCGGTATAGCTTGAATATCGCCGAGTGCGGCGTAAAACTAAACTCACACACTCTGAATACCTTGGGTCGACAACGACCTCTTCAGCGGTAGTGTTGAGTGTATGCTTCATGGCGCTAGTCCTCAGCACGAGGTGATGTCCTGGTCTCATCACTGATGTTCCCTTTTATCAAACGTGACAGGATCTTAGATATGTTTTCGAATTCGGATTAGTCACGCACAAGGACTTGTCACATTTGAGGTTTTACTGTGACAAGAAGAGTTACAGGGTTTTAACACGACATAAGGATGAGTGTGTATTTAACGTGGAGAGGCGTTTCATAAATTCACCGTATTCTTGTTATTATTCTTGTTATTAACCAAGATCCTCCTAAACATTTGAACAGCTACTGATTCCAAATGGATATTCGTTCCTGTCAGTTTAGACTAACGCTTAGTCTCTGAATATATATAATTTTTATAGTAACAAACAAGCCCATTTAAATTGAAAAGGAGCCCCATTGAAACCAGAGATTCGGAGACTAATAACATCTGCATTAGGGCTACACGTGCCGGGGTCATTACCAATTAGAAGTCACATCATACAACCATCAGATAACGGCATAAGTGACAGGCCTATTTATTGGCTCTCCTGTTAATAAGCCCTGTCCTATCTCCATGATGTCATCAACTCATGTGGGCCAGTCAAGCCCCTACTGCCTAACAGTTGCTGAACCTGAGGAAATCTAGACTTGCTTATTTAGGGATTTAGCACTGCAGTTAGGGCTTGGCAGTAGGGAAAATAATGTGGTTCAGGGACTGTGAGACAGACTACTGTCAGTTCTCAATAACAGTTACTCATTTTCAAACTGGAGAGCAATCTTAACGGCACAGATGACATGAGCGGAGGAAATATGTGTCTCCTCCTTACAAACCGGACAATAGTGACGAACCTTCAACCCGGATTTTTGTACCGGACAGAACCAAACTATATCGCGCTAACAGAGACTGGGCCATTTGGCATGACATTAAATGGACATTTTTCTGTAATGTTTCACGACAAACTTAGTTTCCACTTCTGTCATTTACTTTGATCTTGGAGATCGATTTTATCTGTTGCTACAGGAAATGAGCTCGGGGAATGTGTTTCTGGTTATTTCAGTGAGATCATAATGAAACGCACAACATATGAATCGACATGGTGCACTGTGTGGTATTTACTGGGGGAATTTTGGATGATGTTTTGTTTGTTTTTAACACCGTTTAAATTTTGTGAAGTGATCCAGTGATCAACAGCACAAGCGTACGCATCTGCATGGGATACGATGACATGTGTCAACCAAGTCAGCGGGCCTGACCACCCGATCCCGTTAGTCGCTTCTTACGAGAAGCATGTTGCTGAAGACCAATTCCACAGGTCATCGGAACCATAGACCACACTGTTTGTAGTCTTTACGGCCTTTCGGGTTTTTCCGCCACAAGCTGTTTACCATTGAAGCCGAATGTGCCAGTCTCTGTTAAGTCAAATGATCAAAGGACACTTTAATTATTTTGAAGCGACTTCAGCAGTTTCTTATGAATGGAAATTGGTCTCGTCAGAAAGAAAGTAAGGATACTGTATATGACCTGAGGCTTTAGAACAGGACATGGCGGGGACCTTTGATGTGCCGTTGTTGCAGTTCTACATCACCAGCGACAGATACAGTTGATGTTTTCTTTTTATCTCGTGATGTTTTATGTTTTCATGGTCGGAGAATTCGTTTAGGTAGGGATTGTAGACTTGGATCCGCGAAGCATATGTCTGTCTTGTGTAATAAATATGTTGATGTGGCTTTAAGTTGGGGCGTAATTAAGGGCTTCTGAGAAGACATCAAGGTAATGAAAAGGGGCGGATTTTCTTAGGATTTTCGTTGCGAGAGTGTGAATTTACGCCGATTTTAGCAAATACTGTGGGCTCCACACATTGTGGGGAAATCGAACCCGGACTTTCGGCGTGGTGAGCGAACGCTTTAACCTAATGGCTTCTTCAGCTACAGATGGAAAAAATATGTTTCAGCTGATACTTTGAACCAAAGTTTCTATTCTGTCTGAAGACATCTTCCGCCAGTGTATGTTTTGGAGCTGCCTTTTTCTTCATTTTTCAACACCCTGAAGCATATACATATACTTATTATAACTCTCTGTAAGGGACAACTGATATTGTTCGATAAAATTCACTGCGCTGACCATGTATTCATATTTCTCCTACCTATCAAACTTATTCGATACTAATGTTTACCTCGAACACCGTGTGGCGCGTAGAAGTCGTTTGAAGTTGCGTCACATCTTTGTGACATTTGAAATATTTGACGATTTCAAATACCCATCAGTCAGTGTTGTGTGAACTAAAAAGAACGTCCGAAGCGTTAGCTAACATGCGTCCACAGCTCTACCCACTCGCCTGTGTACTCAGTCTCCTCTGCTCAATTTGTCGTCTGCTCAGTTTGTCGTCTGCTCAGATCGAGCTGCCGATTGAGCAATATGAAGTCAATGCATAATTGATGTGGAGCTCTTTGGATTTTGACCTTGAATGAATGTTTCATCGTGCAGCTACGAATATAGCTGTGTTACGACAAAGTAATATGTTTTGCTTTTAGCAACTCTCGGATCTCTGACACGTGTGGTGTTTTGGGCGTATGCGATCTATGGTTATTGTCGCAAGACGACACCTGCATTGCATAAGCAAGCGTCAGTTATTATAGAAGGATGAGAGGTTCGTTTATGTGGATCGTGAAAAGTATAGACCCCACACCCAAATTATTTCATTATGCCGGCAGCGCTTTTATACATTATCATCTCAGTGTACTGGAGTGAGTGAGTGAGTTTAGTTTTACGCCACACTCAGCAATATTCCAGCTATATGGCGGCGGTCTGTAAATAATCGAGTCTGGACCAGACAATCCAGTGATCAACAACATGAGCATCGATCTGCGCAATTGGGAACCGATGACATGTGTCAACCAAGTCAGCGAGCCTGACCACCCGATTCCGTTAGTCGCCTCTTACGACAAGCATAGTCGCCTTTTGTGGCAAGCATGGGTTGCTGAAGACCTATTCTACCCCGGATCTTCACGGGTCCTCAGTGTACTAGAAGGCCGTATGTTCCAGTCGTCTATAACCGAGAAGATCCGGGTTAGAATTGATCTTCAGCAACCCATACTTGTCGTTAGAGGCGACTAACGGGATCGGGTGGTCAGGCTTGCTGACTTTGTTGACACATGTCATCGTATCCCAACTGCGTAGATCGATGTTCATGATGTCGGTCACTATAGTGCTGTAACGATGCATCGAACTATCGATGGATTGCGATTGTTGAGTGTCCGATATCAATTAACCGATGGTAGAAACGAAAAACTATCGACGCATCGATAGTATGTGTGACTATGTATATAATTTAGTAATTGGCTTTCATTGATAAATGCGCAGCGCAAAATACAGGAGGTACCAGATTTATTCACTTTGATCTAGAGTTCTCCGTCCCGGTTACCTCTTTAAAAAATTTCATCTGGATTTCAAGGTTCTTGTCAGTTATTGAAAGAGACTGAAACTACCCCAGATTGCTTTTATTTCACAAAAACTACATGTATAAATGGAAGTCATGTCTGTCACTATTGTGTCATTATATGCAAAAGGATTGCCCTTTAAATGTTTTTAAAAGATTAAATCATAATTTATGTAGGTGCGCTTCTTAAAGCTAAAAGGTTGTGATTACCCATGGCCTCCGGCGCTGTGTGGTTGAGATAATGCCATTGTGACGTAATGTTGTGGCTCAATCGTGACATCCTGGGTCCCGTTTCACAAAGTACCTGTTGTAGCGTTGCGACTATTGTAACCCTCATGCTTTAATGTATAGACTTACGAGAGTCGTAGCGCTGAGATCGTTTTGTGAAACGGGACCCTGGTTAAGTGTTCTGTGGGTACGCAGGAGGCAAGACCTGTAAGGTCTCAGTGGCGTGCAGACTCAAAGTTTATCATAAATTCATTACATCTGTTTTCAACATCGATTTGGTGGGTAAGTAGGTAAGTACGCGCGCACCAATAAATGTTCGTACGTGAGGCTTTGCCCACAAGGAACAGGTGGTGTGTTCACATAACATGGCGTTGTGTATTTAGGTGGCCTTTTGCTATTTAGGGAGTTTTAGGAGTTGAAAAGATTTTTGTTTCAGTGTCATCATGTTTCACTTTGACCTTGTTCACAGAGGTGTCCGGACCATATCTCTAAGACTAATAGGTCTTAGACTCTTATGTCAGAAAACACTCTCCCCGTTCCGATGGCAACATGCAAGGGTGGATCCCGGATTTGGTGTGTGTGTGTGTGGGTGTGTGTGGTGGTTTGTGTTTGTTGGTTGTATGTGTGGTTTTGTTTGTGTGGTTTTTCTTCTTTTTGTGTGTGTGTGTGTGTGTGTGTGTGTGTGTGTGTGTGTGTGTGTGTGTGTGTGTGTGTGTGTGTGTGTGTTTTGTGTTTTGTCTTTTTTCCCCCTGGGTGCGCCCCTGACGCCGCTTTTAGCAATATTCCAGCAAAGCAATATCACGGCGGGGGACACCAGAAATCGGCTTCACTCATTGTACCCATGTGGGGATTCGAACCCAGGTCTTCGGCGTGACGAGCCAACGCTTTAACCACAAGACTACCCCACCGCCCCCGCCCCTGACGTATTCTGTACATAGTGGTGTGTTCATCGTTTTAAGTATCTCTACAACATATTCTTTCATGACATTTTGCCTTCAGGAGGTACTTGTATGAAAAGGTTATAAAGTGGTGCTTTTTAGCTATTTAATTACAGAGTCTTAGACGAAAATCCGTTTCCATGACAACACGTTTGACATTGACTCTGATCATGGTGGTGTGGTTGCACCCATATTTCCGAAACAGCTATTCTTTCATGAAATAAACCTTGCACACACGGCGATTAGGTTGTCAGCTGCTACTTTTCGCTATTTAGGGAGTTTCAGAATATATTATGTATTCTGTTTCATGCCAATAAGTTTGACTTAGACTTTATTCACAGGGATGTCACCGAATTCACTTCCCGTGAAGATCCGGGTTAGAATTGGTTCTCAGCAACCCATGCTTGTCGAAAGAAGCAATTCACTGGATGGGGTGGTCAGGCTCGCTGACTTGGTTGCCACGCATACCAATTGCCTAGATCGATGCTCATGATGCCAATCACCAGATTGTCTGGTCTAGATTCGATTACTTCTCTGAGTGGCATTTTTTAGATGTTGGAAAGTTAGTCTTTTCTTGTATGTAATCATATTTGAATATCATAATGATTATTGTCATGAGTATTCAAATGTATATTCATGTAATCGTATGCGATCACATATTGTACCAACTGTGAGATTACAGCCTATTGTACTAAATGTGAGATTACAGCATATTGTACCAACAGTGAACTCACAGCGTATTGTACCAACTGTGACATTAGAGCGTATTGTACCAACTGTGAGATTACAGAGTATTGTACTATCCGTGAGATCACAGCGTATTGTACCATCTGTGAGAGAACAGCGTATTGTACTTATTGTTGGATGACAGCGTGTTGTACCAACGGTGAGATTACAACGTATTGTACCAACCGTGAGATCACAGCGTATAGTACTATGAGATTACACCGAATTGTACCAACCGGGAGATCACAGAGTATTGTACCATTTGTAATATTACAACGTAGTGTACTAACTGTTACATGACAGCGTATTGTAACAATTGTGAGATTACAGCGTATTGTACCAGATGTGAGATTACAGCGTATTGTGCTAACCGTGAGATCACAGTGTACCAACTGTGAGATCACAGCGTATTGTACTAAATGTGAGATTACAGCGTATTGTACCAACTGTGAGATCACAGTGTACCAACTGTGAGATCACAGCGTATTTTGCCAACTGTGGGATCACAGCGTATTGTACCAACTGTGAGATCACGGCGTATTTTACCACCTGTGAGATCATAGCGTATTGTACCAACTGTGAGAACACAGCGTATTTTACCAACTGGGAGATCACATCGTATTGTACCACCTGTGAGATTACAGCGTATTGTACCAACCGTGAGATTACAACGTATTGTGCTAACCGTGAGATCACAGCGTATTGTACCAACCGTGAGATCACAGCGTGTAGTACTAATTATGAGATTACAGCGTATTGTACTAACTGGTTGGAATCCATAACTCATATCTTTGCAGAGTAAGGACCAGGCATACAAATGGAAGGTCTGAATTCCGATGTATGATACTCTTTTGACAGCCCAATAACTACTGTTTTATATGTACAGGAATATAGGATGTTCTCATCAAGTTGGACAGATCATTCTTGTGGGACTTGCCGTATCAATCAGATGATTTGTTCTTTCGAATGTGTGGGGCCGGGGGGATTTGTCATCTTCTGATGAATCTTGTTTTACATTAATGTGAGTCGGATCTCCACGATGGAAAATCGTATGATGAATATCAAATGTGAAATAAAACATCACTAGATATGACGTTTTACAATTTCATTTGCATGTCGTATTCTGCTTGGCAATGTCTTAAGTACACAGATCAACATTGCCGTGTGTCTCGTAAACTGTTCAACTAGAAGTAATCATTTATCCTCGATCTACCGGTGTTTCAGCTAAAAAGTATCCTCGATCTACCGATGTTTCAGCTAAAAAGTACCATGTTCACATTAAGATGCGTCGGGTTACCGGAAAATGGGATATGTAATCGCAGATCAATATTTACAAGTTATATACCAGTCTCATTGTCGCGGTTGACACACTCACTTGAATTGAGATACATAGATAGATATTCATTTGTGACATGTGTTCAAATATCGATTCGGTACGATGGAACACATACATAATCCAATAATTTCATTGGGTGTTTCATCGACCGTCTCATCGCACTCAACCTAGCTCATGGTTGGCAAGGCAAAAACGGCCTAATATATTGTTGCATGTGGACAACCACCAGGGCCCGTTTCACAAAGCGATCGTAGCGCTAACGTGATCGTAACACCCATACTTTAACTTAGACTTACGACGGTCATAACGCTACGATCGCTTTGTGAGACCGGCCCCAGTGTTTTAGTCTGTCCACCCAAGTTCATTCCACCGACTGTAGATGTGGACTCTTCTCAGCCTGACAATATTCAGGAATTCCTGCGTGTTATGTGTCTCCATCACCCTGTGACAAAAGTCGACGAAAGAAAATAGGGGGTTGTCAATTTACATTTGAAAATTGTAATTCAGTATCTTCAAATTCCTACTTAGGTATCTTCAAATTTCAAGACAATTAGGCGAAAAAGAATAGGGGGTTGTCAAATTACATTTGAAAATTTCAATTCAGTATCTTAACTGACTGACTGACTGAGAGTTTAGTTTTAAGCCGCTTTTAGCAATATTCCAGCAATATCACGGCGGGGGACACCAGAAATGGGCTTCACAAATTGTACCCATGTGGGGATTCGAACCCGGGTCTTCGGCGTGACGAGCCAACGCTTTAACCACTAGGCTACCCCACTGCCCCTCAGTATCTTAACATTTCTATTTACATAATTATCTTGAAATTTAAAGACAATAAATATAGAAAACAAATTACCGTACAGTGGTTCACAGACCGCCTCACATAGCTGGAATATTGCTGAGGGCATCGTAAAACAGCAAGCAGATCACTGGCAGTTATGAGTTATATATTTCTTTACTGTAGTTAATATAGCGAACATCACCATTACATTGACTGTAGGTATAAATAGAGAATCTCACCCGAGTGTCCTTTGATATCAAATATATCACCACGAGTTACAAATATCCGAGGCTTACCGAGGATATTTTTACTTTTATCAACGAGAGTTGATATATTTGATATGAAAAGACACGAGGGTGAGATTCTATTTATCATCAAAAATAATTCTTTTTTAGTTTTCAATGAAAAATGTACATCTATGAACATGGTACTGCCATTAGGCTTGCAGTGCAGCGATATCATAGCATTGTGACGTCATCAAGTTCATGACGTCATAGCATTGTCAGGGCATTGTACAAAATCTACTGTCAAAACGATCTCACTCAAGCAGTTGCTCCTGTGGAACACTGTTTTGGACGATAAAAGAACGTAGCGTATGGAAAAAACAGTGATAATACAATTCTAGTACAACTAGGTCAGTTTTAGAAACAAAATCGAATCGCGATTGATTTATTGACTTTTACCCTGGGTGTCCTCTTCATTGCTCTGGATCTTGCCAGTGTTTACCAGTAACCAAGACAGTACCGTTCCATCTGAGCAGACTCGTATCCAGCGGAACGCCTGGAAGTCTGTGATAGTTTTGTATCACTCCAGATAATACAATGGGAATCCATGACATCTGTTGTATGATGGAGGTCCGATGGGATTCGAGCTGAGTAATTGCGCCTTTAAAATTGCACTATGGTGTTCAAGGAAACTACGGTTATAACGAACTCAAAGGGTCCAGTAGTAGTATTAGTGAGTGAGTGAGTGAGTGAGTATGGTTTTACGCCGCTTTTAGCAATATTCCAGCAATATGACGGCGGGGGACACCAGAAATGGCCGTCACACAGTGTACCCATGTGGGGAATCGAACCCAGGTCTTTGGCGTGACGAGCGAACGCTTTAACCACTAGACTACCCCACCGCCCCTTCATATCAAAGAACATCAAACATGCACGCACGCACGCACGCACACCGCTGTGTAAGCGCAGTGATGGTGTACGCAACGCTAAACCCCATCTCACTTCACCCCTAACTTTAGCTAAGATGTGTACTTCGTGTGAGCTACTTACCGATTGTACATTTATTCAATTGTTCATTCCCGTTGTTCCGTGCAATCTTTTGATAAAACTAACCCTACTTAGTCTCGAGAGGCGTCTGTTTTTACACCTTCTGTGGTCATATGGAGTGGAAATAGTCAGCCATACGTGGTTTCCTGTGTTATGTTGTTGAATTATTGACCGTCGCCTCATGGTGGGACCCTGGTTACGTTCAGGAGGATAAACAAAGCCCCACTGCTGGGAAACTTCTCAACACAAAGCGATCTTATTTAACGACGAGAATCTAATTTAATATTGTCCTTCTCAGCAGACAGACAATCAAGGTCCCCAATCAGATAGTGGCAGTTGTTTGGGGGATTCAGAATGAAAGCTTTCTTGTCAGTCGTTCCATGTCTGGGTTTCATCAGCTGCTGATGAAATAATGGTATGTTTTACACGAATTTTAACACGCTTACAAGCGTAACGATGTAAACAGTTCACAACGTGTCTCATAACTAGTGCGGTGGGTAGCCTAGTGGTCGAAGTGTTCGCTTGCCACCTCCAAAACAGAGGTTTGATTCCCCACAGTGTGTGAAGCTCATGTCTGGTGTCCCCCGCCGTAACTTGGCTGGAATATTGGTAAAAGCGGCGTAAAAACCATACTCACTTTAAATCTGAAATCATTACAAGGATGGTTTTTAGGCCGAGAACTGATGGAGTAGTGGTGGATGAAATGTTCGTCCTAATTTCTTAGTTTGTGTGAAGCCGATGTAGCCCTGTCTCTCCCCCAGGTTTTAGCTTCGTGCAGCTGAACGCTCAGGATGGAAGTAACTGGGGAAATTAAATAAAGTTTTAAGTCTTTCCGACAACCAAGGGGCGGTGGAGAAGCCACTCCCCGCCTAACTATCCGCCCTCTCTCTCTCTCTCTTTCTCTTTCTCCTCCCCATTCACTCTGCCTGGTCTCCCCTGTCTGCCTGTCTGCCCTCTCTCTCTGTTCGTCTATCTGTCTGTTTGCCTGTCTCCTTCTCTCTCTGTCTCTCCGTCTCTCTCTCTCTCTCTCTCTCTCTCTCTCTCTCTCTCCCCACTCTCTCTCTCTCTCTCTCTCCTTTCTCTCTCTCTCTCTGTGTCTCTCTCTCTCTCTCTCTCTCTCTCTCTCTCTCTCTCTCTCTCTCTCTCTCTCTCTCTCTCTCTCTCTCTCTCTCTCTCTCTCTCTCTCTCTCAGAACTGATCTACTTCGGGGTTTTCTCCCACATTAACCAAACCAAGTGGCGTTCAGTTCCCACTACCCACTGCCCTAATGGGGAAACCATTCAGTCTCTCCGCCACAAAACTTCCAACGGCACTCTCCAAACCATCTCACATGCACTTTACCACAACTCTAGCTCAAGTCCACCGAGCTCACATAAGCATCCTCACACATCTCCAAAGAAACATGGAGAATCTCACACACCTCAACAAGAAACTCATGCTCAGAGACAGAATCACGGTTGATGCTCATCCTCGCCCACAGGGTTTAATTTGTATACGGTGGAGCCATGTTGCTCAATTTGTCTCCGCATTCTCGTTGAGGTTTTGTTCTAGTGCACTGGGCGTTCTTTTGATGGTGCTTCAGCAACAGCACATTATCACCATAATACGACACCACTCCACCAACAGCTGAGGCATTGACGCAACGTCGATGCCTTTCAAAAGAGTCACTCTCAAAGATGTCCTCGCCTCTCAAAATCCTCGTCTTGAGTAGTCGGTTTTTGAGTGAGCGGCTCGCGAACACTAACGGGACATTTAGAAGACAAAGCTTTTATGTACCCTCTTTGAGCCTGCCATAGTGCAGCCACTACGTTGAGGGAGCTATCGATTTTTTGCGAGTATTCACCAAACTAAGTTTGTTATGGAGAACGATGTGCTGTTAATTCCAGGTATCAAATCGCGTGTTTCCGTTGAGCATCACGATGGTTCTGACGGATCAGAACACATCTAACAATGGTCTTCTTTCAGTGAGGTTTGGTTTCAGAGACATACAAATGCTGTCCTTGTACATCAAAGCCTTGTGTTTTTCTCATGTTCCGCACCTCAAATAGATACGTATACGTGACTACGTGGATTTCATGAAGTAAAACTGCTCATGTTTAAACTTTTTAGATATAATTTTAGATTTGTTGATTTACGTTTCGTGATGGGTTTTTGTGAGTGGGAGTTTCCTCTTTTCTTCTTCGTTCTTTCTCCTTTTATGCGTGGTGTGGGTGTGTTTGTTATTATAGAAACTCGACGTATGCGTACCTATAAGCGAATAGCGTTACGCATGCCCAATTCTATCCGGGTCTCGTACGGGTTTTGTATCCCATATATAGACCGCTTGACGTCCTGGAGTGAGTGAGTGAGTGAGTTTAGTTTTACGGCGCACTCAGCAATATTCCAGCTATATGGCGGCGGTCTGTAAATAATCGAGTCTGGACCAGACAATCCAGTGATCAACAGCATGAGCATCGATCTGCGCAATTGGGTTGATGTCCTGGAAGCATCATTATAAGATGCTTCGCTATTAGATCAAGGGCGCAGACAGTTCTTTATCAGACGATGAAGTACAGGTTTTGCATTACGCCTCACTGTATTGACGTCACTACGTCATTCTAATCTGTCCCCTCGTAATCAAACACACTTCGTACGCGATGCCCAGTACAGTCTCCTACGGTTGATTTGATTGATCATTAAACTTTAATAGGTGTTCGGACAGCTATGCCCATTTACACCCATCATAAAGGTTTGCTAAGTTTCTAAAATTTTATAAAGTATCAAAGCTGCCACACGCTTTAATATAAGCAAGAATTACATTCTGGACTTCATGTCTCCTACAGTACAATGAAGTCCGGAGCATCCTTAATCTTGGTTTGCAGTTGCTACACACGGCTAATATTGGTGGAAACTTTACGTTTGACTTTTTTGACGGAAAAATGTTTTAGCTCAACTCACAATTAAACAGCGACACGGCAATGTTCGTTAACTAAGCCTATGTACAGTTTTTCGCCGAACTGTTATGACTTTAAAGCACTGTATTTCTTAAGTAGAACCAGTTGAGACTCCCTGATGCAACCCGTCTCTCAGTGGGGACCGTTACGTATAGTTTTACCATAGTCGAAATCTAATTTGATGGCAACTTTCAAGTGATTGCTATCAGCGTGATAGTCCGTTCAGGCCATCTGGGGGTTTAATGTTTAGATCGTCGGAGTCCGGGTTTAAGGTACGCGTGAGGCACAGGAGTCGAATGTCCACGGAAAATCTCAAAATGTTTGTGGAGAAAACTTTGTCATCCGGTTAACCAGTTCCGGTCCCTGGGAGGTCCTGCGGATGGTGGTGAATCAGTCGATCTGGGGCCGGATCCCGGTCCCTGTAAAGGGGGAGGTCCTGCGGATGGTGGTGAATCAGTCGATCTGGCGCCGAATCCCGGTCCCTGTAAAGGGGGAGGTCCTGCGGATGGTGGTGAATCAGTCGATCTGGGGCCGGATCCCGGTCCCTGTAAAGGGGAAGTCCTGCGGATGGTGGTGAATCAGTCGATCTGGAGCCGGATCCACAAAGCGTTGGTGGCACTTACTCATTCTTAATACTATGATAAACTATCTAGTTTATCGTAACGCTAAGAACGCTTTGTGGATCGGGACCCTGGAATGATGTATGTATTGTTCTGTGTAGAATGCGTTTCCTGTTTCCCAAATCTAGTTTGCTGCTGAGTTGAGTCAAGAATAATGTTTCTTTTTTCTAATTCCGCGTTTGAATCCACTCCCAGCAACGTACGCTTGTTTGAAGAGGTGGCTTTGTGGATTGGGTGTCAGGATTGATGTCGCGGTTGATGTTCGTTATTATAGAAACTCGACGTATGCGTACCTATAAGCGAATAGCGTTACGCATGCCCAATTCTATCCGGGTCTCGTACGGGTTTTGTATCCCATATATAGACCGCTTGACGTCCTGGAGTGAGTGAGTGAGTGAGTTTAGTTTTACGGCGCACTCAGCAATATTCCAGCTATATGGCGGCGGTCTGTAAATAATCGAGTCTGGACCAGACAATCCAGTGATCAACA